GAAGGTCTCTTTTGAGAAATCCGCTGACAGGCTGATGGGGACTCCTTTGTAGGTGACTGTCCCCTTAGCGCTTGCTGCTTCTAGGATTCTCTCCTTCATTTTCATCTTGGCTAATGTAATTATGATGTGCCTTGGTGTGTTCCTTCTTGGGTCCAACTTTTTTGGTATTCTCTGGGCTTCCTGGATTTCCTGGAAGTCTATTTTTTTTTGCCAGATTGGGGAAGTTCTCCTTTATTATTTGTTCAAATAAGTTTTCCACTGGTAGCTGTGCCTTTCCCCCTTCTGGTACCCCTATAATTCGGATGTTGGAGCATTTAAAGATGTCCTGGAGGTTCCTAAGCCTCTCCTCATTTTTTTGAATTCTTGCTTCTTGATTCTTTTCTGTTTGGCCATTATTTGCTTTCTTCTGGTCCACTCCATTGATTTGAGACCCAGTTTCCTTTTCATCGCTATTGGTTTTCTGTGCAATTCCATTCATTTTAATTAGTTTCGCCTTCATATGTTTCTCTAATTTGTGGCTATAATCAACCAGTTCTGTGAGAATCCTGAACACAAGTGTTTTAAACTGTGCATCTGAGAGTTTTGCTATCTTCATTGCTTAGATTTATAGGCTCTGGGGCTTTGAGATCTTCTTGAGGCATTTTTGTTCTGTTCATGCCCGTAAGTACGCGGAGGTGAGCCTTGGACTCCCAGGTCGCTGGGTTGTGACGCTGTGTGTGTGGGCGTGGTCAGAGCGGGGAAATGGTGGCCCCCTTTGCTGTTTGGCACCACTGGGTGAGGAGCAGAGCCTTAGGTGGTTCACCAGGGCAGGGCCATTTAGGTCTCTGGGTTATGACGCTGTATGTGGAGGTGGGGTCAGAGCGGGGAAATGGCGGAGCCCTCCTCTGCCGCTGGCCACTGGGGCCTGCTGGGTCCCGTCCAATCGCCCACTCCCTCGCTTGTCTATCCACACACGAATGCGCGACCACAGTCAACCCGCAGCCCTGCTCCTTGGCTGTTTCCTCGCGATCGCATGCTGAGTTGCCCACCAGGTCCAACCCTGCGCCTGGATTCCACACTCCTGAGTCCGTGTGACCGAGTTTTCCTGTGCTACCCTGCTCCGCCAGCTGCTGGTTTCGCCCCGGTTACTGGTCAGGCTGAAGAATTTGTTGTTATCAGACTTCCGAAAAGTTCAATTTTCTGTGTTCTGGCTGTGTTTTCTGTTGCTAATATTTAGTTGTTTCTAAACTTGGTTGTGTGAGGAAGCACGGCGTCTCCACCTATGCCTCCATCTTGGCGGAAGTCTCTGCGGGGCAACCCTTGAGCAGGCCGACAGGGCATGTGGAAGATGCTGGGGTCCCAACACCCCACTGTGCAGCCCGAATGTCTTCCTTTGTGGAGCAGAGGCTCCATCCAGGGACATGCACCTGGAGATGCCCCTTGCTGACTTGTCCCCTAGGCCAGTCCCTAGGAACAGGTGGTTGGAGCACAGCATTTGGAGTTGAGTGTCCACACCCCTCCCCACCAGAGACTGGGGGTCGGGGTGCATCTCTGGTCAGTTTGCTCAGCTGTAACCGGGTGCTGACGACACCGGGCCCCCCAGCCTCTCTGCTTGCTTCTGAGGCTCAAAGTAAAAGGTGTGTTGTGTCTTATTCAGACTTTGTGTTTGTGAAGAGCAGAAAGGCAACAAAATCTGCTCGATCAAGGCCAGTGGGCATTTCTCTGGGTGCCCAGGGCAGCGGTCACCAGCCCTCATCGCCTGTCTGCCTCGGCCCCACGGACCCCCTGTCTGTGGCCCGAGTCTCCTCTGCTTCTCCCCACACCTGCCTCCTTCTGTCTGTACAGCAGCTGTTCCTGCAGGAACTTGGTGTCCTCTCCCACAACGCCCACTGTGTGAAGTTCGGGGTTGCCGGGGCCAGTCCCGGTCCCCTCTGCACTCAGATGTTTGCTGGGCTCCCAGATGTTTGCTGAGCACATGACTGGCCGACATGTCCATTCAGCTGGGGGAGGGGGGCTCAGGCCCCTGGTAACATGAGGGAGGATAGGAAGGGGTAGGATTTATGACCCAGGTGTAACGGTGCTTTGAATTTCCAAAAGCAGGACATGGAGGCCAGAGGGACTATAGCCCAGTGTAATCCCAGGCCTTACTGTCTGAGAAAGACCAGTCCAGGGACACACACATTGCTCTTTGTCCCTGACATGGCTGTAACTGGTCGGGAGACCTTTATAGGTCCTCCTGTGTGCATCTCAGTTCACTGATGTGAAAATGGGAGGGGTGTTGGATGGATCTGGCCCCAGTGGGCACAGGCCCTGCCATCCTCACAGTGGCCACTGGAGGGCAGCGCCCTCCTACAAACTAGGTGGGGGGCCCAGCCCTCTGACAAGTCCCCTGAAAACTAGGTTTTGTTAGGTTTTCACAAAAGGAGGGCAATGCCGAGGACCTTTGGGGACATTTCTGGCATGGAATAGCTGATGGGCGTCTCTGAGGGACGTTACATTTCTTAAACCTTTTCTGAAGTGTTGGAACATAGAAATTTCCACTCGGGAAGGGGTCTTCCCAGCTCTGCTCCCAGGGCGCCCCTGTCCTCATCCAGGTGGCTTTCATCCTGTGGACACTGTCCATCTGCTCTTCCAGCTGCTGAAAGAACAGATTCTTTCTGTTCTCAGCGAGGACTTAACCGGCGCCTCCCCCCACCACTCACACACACCTGTGTATCTCCTGGGAGGAAACTTTGGGAAATTTCGAACTGACTTCAGCAATTCAGTTCAAAAAGTGTTCCCAATGGCAATGTGAAGGAAATTAATATTAGTCCCTGATTCATACCACCTAAAAACTTTTAATTACTTTTCCTGAGTGTTTTTTTCTTTTAGTTTTTGAACTCAGTTCATCCAAATTCCTATTTTGCTCTGCGTTTTTCTTTGCGGTTTTATTTCTTTTTAGAGAGAGGGGAAAGGAGGGAGGGAGAGAAACTTCGATGTGTGAGAGATACATTGACCGGTTGCCTCTTGCACATTTGACCCGCAACCCAGGCATGTGCCCTGACTGGGAATCCAACCGGTGACCTTTGTTTCAAAGGTCGGCACTCAGTCCACTGAGCCACACCAGTCAGGGCCGCTCTGTGCTGCTTGTAACAGTGGAAAGTTGAAATCAGAAATTAACAGCAAATAAAAGCACAATTAAACAGTAAGAGTTACACTTCCCATAAAACTTATTAAAACGTCCATTGCAAGCCCTGGCTAGTGTGGCTCAGTGGATTGAGAGCCAGACTGAGAAGCAAAGGGTCGCTGGTTCAATTCTCAGTCAGAGAACTCACATGCCTGGGTTGCAGGCCAGGTCTCCACTGAGGGGTGTGTGACAGGGACCCCACACTGACGTTTCTCTCCCTGTCTACGCCCCTCCCTTCCCTTCTCTCTAATAATAAATAAAATCTTTAAAAAATGTCCATTGATGATTGGAAACTTTCATTTTTCAGCCTTTCAATAAAATTTAAACAACTAATATAATTGACTACAAAAAATGAAAATTCAAATTGTTAGAAGACTGTAGATCTATTTCCTTTGTTGTTTCTTTTCTATTTTTTTCTTCTACAAAAGCAACACCTTTTCATCTTGAAAGTCATAATCTGACCCACTCAGAAAATGATTGTTTAGTCCTCGCTCTGGAACCTTCCAGATCTCTTTGTGCACACACACACACACACACACACACACTCATGCTGGCCTCACCTCCAAACCAGCTCTCTATTCTTAGACATTTACAAAATTCACCACTCTTTGTTACTTCAAAGACTTGTAATGAGCAAGCACAATGAACTAAAATTGACTAAATAGTTCTAACATTAAAAAAAAAGATTTTATTTAATTACTTGTAAAGAAATGGGAAGGAAAGGAGAAAGAGCGGGGGAGACACACCAATATGTGAGATACATCGGTCTGTGTCCTCTCACAGGCACCCAACTGAGGACCCGGCCCACAACCTAGGCATGTGCCCTGACTGGGAACCGAACCAGTGACCCTATGGCACTCAATCCACTGAGTCACACCAGCCAGGTCAGAAGTTCTAATATTTTATTTGTTTGTTTGTTTGCTTATTTGGGAAGAGAGGGAGAGAGAACATCCATGTGAGAAAGAAAGATCATTGGTGGCCTATCCTAGGCACCCCGACATGTGGTCAGGAACCGAACCAGCGAATGTTCACTTTGCAGGGCAGCGCCCATTCAACTGAGCTGCACTGGTCAGGGTAAAAGTTCTAACATTTTAATAGGACTTTTCTCACCCTCCAGTGTTGCAGGTTGGACAGTCATTTTCTTGGACACGTCCCTGGGTGTCCGTCTTCTTTGTCCTTCTGAGCAGGGGGACTCACTGCCTTTCACACCCTCGGTCTCCAAGGGTCTCCAGCAGGAGCAGGGGAGCAGGCCCAAGGCCTCTGCCCACCCTGCCCAGGGCCCCCTGGACAGCAATAGGCTCATAAGTGGTAGAACCAGCACCTGAACCTGGGTCTAGTGACCACAAGGGGGCGCTGTCTGCCCCGCCTCTCCCAGGAGCCTCTTCCTGTTCTCCTACCTTACTCACAGGGCATGAGCTCTGCTCCAACCTCCCCACCCCCCAAGTACGAATTTCTTTCCTTTTTATTTTGTAATCCTCACCCAAGGACACGTTTATTGATTTTAGAGAGAGGAGGAGGCAGAGGGCAAGAGAGAGAAACATCCACCTGAGAGTGAAACACTGATTAGCTGCCTCCTGTATCCACCCCGACTGGGGATTGAACTTGCAACCTGGGCATGTGCCCTGAGTGGGGATGGAACCAACAGCATTATGGTGTGTGTACAGGACGATGCTCCAACCAACTGAGACACCTGGCCAGGGCTCTTTCCTTTTTCTTAACCTTGGTCATGGCGATCCCTCCCAGCTTGGTCTCTGTCCCATCATCCGGGGACCTTGGGGTAGGACAAGGAAGGGATATTTGAAATATTACGAAGAAAGAGAAAAGAGACGTTTTCAATGACCAATTTCCACAGTTATTTATTACATCTAAAGGCATGATTACATCTAACACTACAGGGAAGTTAGAGCTGGCTGATGATTTAGGAAGATCAACGTGTGTGATTTCACGGGGGGGTTGCTGTGGGAGCCAGGGCAGGGCATGGACTCTGGGAGGCCAGCTCTTCCCCCACCAGCTTGAGCTGCCGGCTCAGTGCTGCTCTCTGTCTACGCTTTCTTGTCTTCCACGTAGCTTCTCAAGTCCTTGAGGTTGCGGTTGATCTCACTTAAGCAATACTGGAGCTCAGAGCCTAGAAAATGTATAAAAAGAAGAGTTCGTAGAAAGAGTCACAACACTGGAGTTCCTCATGACAACAGAGCGTGGGCAGCCAGACTCCCACCCCCACACGTGAGTTCAAGGGAAGAGTCTTCCACTCCTGAGAATGCCCATGTTCCCATCCAATTGGCTTTCAGGCACCTTCACTGTGTCTTAATGGCGGCTTGCAAACTGCCGAGATCTCGAGGTGACAGTGTGGCAGGTGGTTCTACTCTTGCACCTTAGTTTCCAAGGTGGTGCTTAGTAGCCCTTCGGTACCACAGGCCACACAGGTATTTTCCAACAAATAAATGGCAAGAGGTCTGCATTTGACCTTTGTGTTGATTTTGCAATTGACCTGGGTTCCTCAGGTCATTCCTCACTGACAGGCGGGTCGTGTTGCAGGACTAAGAGACACAGGACAGGGAGGCGTCACGTGAGTCACCAACAGGCTCAGCTGGAGGCTGGAAGCCTGGCCTGAGGGCAGGCAGGTGGAGGGGTGATGCCCAGTTCCCCCTTCTGTTATCAGTGAGGGGTGGCTGGGATCCCTCAGCTGGGGGCCTGGGAGGAGCCCTCCTGCTGTCCACTGGGAGTGACAGTGACATTCCCACACAGTGAGGCTCAGAAGGCCCCCAGTGGACCTGCAGGCAGCCAGCAGCACGGAGCTCTGCGGTCTAAGAGGTATCAGGACCCCGACCACCCGAGCTCCTTCAGGTGGGGAGTTGGAGGGATGGCCACCCCCGCCATCACCACGGGGAGACAGCCTGAGAGATGTGGCACCTGGGAAACCACGGGGTCTGTGCCTCTTGCAGGGACAGTGCACGGTTTCATTTGGGAAACTGGGGGGATGCGGGCAGATTAGAACAAGGAGACGGATGGAGTCTGAGCTCCCTTGGGCTAGTAACTGCTAATATCGTATGTAGTACAATATGGGAAATGTCTAAATGGAAGTTATTGGAGTGATGCTGGTTACTGCAGTTGTATAAGTTTCAGGGGTACAATTCCATACTATCACATCTGTATATTGTGTTGTGCATTCATCACCCCAAGTCAAGTCTCCTCCTATTGCCACTTACCCACCCTTGACCCTCTTCCCCCTCCCCCACCCTTTCCCTCTGGTGATCACCAATATGGGGACATTATAATTACAGCCAGTATTGTTTTTTCTTAGCCTTCCAGTGGAGGAGCAAAGTGATACAAAGGGAAAACCATGAGTGAACCCTGGCAGGATACAGGAAGAAAAGTGCAGTGGGCCTTTATGTTTCGGGGGTTACACATGGAGATTTAAAAATCGTGCAAGAGATGCATCAAGGTGAGGAAATAGTGATTGGAGACCAATGCCATCGTGTTAGAGGCCGTAAAGGTGTGTGGAATGGGAAATAGAAATAGATTGCAAAGACACAGAAGCAGACCAAAAAACAGATGGGAGAACTTCAGAGTATTTATGTTCTTAAAACCACAGAAATGAGGTGAGCCAAGAACACAGTTGGAGCCTCACCCGGTGGGTTAGCGATTTCCAAGGACATTGCACTGCCTGCTCCTGCAGCCAGAGCCCTGGTGCCAGGGCTTGACCCCCAGGAAAATGTGGTTAACCCTGCCTTGAGGGGGTGTGTGGGAGGAGATGAGATGAGCTTGGGCTACAGACCCAGATACAGGTGCCTGGGGAATCACATGAGTCGGATTAAATGACGTGAATGGGAGCCTACACCTCTGAGGGCGTGTCTGGGTGCTGCGGACCTCCTGCTTCCCCTCCTGTCTCTGGCCAGGCCCCAGTGGGCAGTGAATGACACAGTCAGTCATCCACCCTCATTGCCTCCTCCATTCTCCTCACTAGCATCGCTGCCTGGACTGGGGAAATGGGTCATCCCCTTTGCCAAGCCCTGGGCGGATTGGGGCAGGAGCCTCCTGCTGCTGGGATGACCCTCCTCCCCTTTCTGTTGCCAGAAGGGACAGGTCCACCAGAGAGGGAAGAAACCAGGAGTCAACCAATTGCAAAACGTGAACGAGGTGATCTTACCAGCATCAGGCTGACACATGAAGCTGGCTTCCACCACTCTGCCGTTCAGGGGCTGGGTCCTGCGGTGATTGTCCTGCATGACCTTGTTCTGGTTGTCCAGTAAGGAGTTCTCGAGCTCCGCAATCTGTTGGCAACATGAAGTGAGTTATGGAGAGGAAGAGGCACTGGACGATTTAAAAGGTTTTGTTGGAAATGGCACCAGATGTTGGCTTATGTAACTTGGATAAAGCAGCTGGGAGATCTCAAGACCAGAGGAGGTTCTTGGGTAGAAATGTCAGGTATGGGATATTCATGCACTTATTCTTCCAAAAATCTCTCTTCTTCTTTCTGTTTTATGAGTATTTGGTCAATAGTAGAAATGAGAAAAAGGAGTAAATAGAGACATACCATGTAGCAAGCTCAATTTTCATTTTTCTATAAGTATGTGTATTTTGTCAATGTCTCTTGAAAGGCATTTTTGCTGCGTGTATAATTCTACAGCTGCTACTCATTTCTCTTGGTGCTTTAAAAATACGATTCTCTGCTTTCTGACACTCACTGTTGCTGTGTTGAATCAACTCACAGATTATCATGAAAAGATCATCAGTTCTGTCTGGCTGATTTTTAAACTTTGTCTTTGATGTTTTTTTGTGGTTTCACTGTGGTATGTTTAATGTGTTTGTTTTTTTAATTTACATCGACTCATTATTAGGCTTACTGAATATATGACTTGGTGTCTTTCAAGTATTCAGAAAATTTGTCAGCCAGTGTTTCTCAAATTGTACCTTTTCTCTATGCTACCTCTCTTCGCCTTGGCCTTCAACCAAATATTTGTTAGATCTCTCCACTATCTTCTCTGGGGTTTTTTTGTACTTCTTTCTCATATTTTTATCTCTGTTTCTCTTTGTGCTTCATTTGAGATCATTTTCTCAGCTCTGTCTTCCAGTTTACTAATTCTTTCTTGATCTGTGTCTCAGATGGTATTAAAGCCATTCATTGTGTTAAGTGCCTGGGGAGGTGGAATCTGGGGTACTTTCAGCCTGGTTGGCAGCCTTTTTGTGTGTGGGTGCCCTTGTTATGGGTCTCCCCACCTTCTACTGGGGCAGGGAAGTGAGAAGTTTAAGAAAAAGAAATCTTTTTCTCTGAGGAAGAATATCACCCAGAAGGAAATGTGAGCTTTGCTTTGCAAGCTCAGCACACGGGTCCTTTTTAACTCAATGAACGCTTTGTGCCTGTGCTGGGCTGGAGGACACAGACACATGGCACCGCCCTTCTCCCGGGAAGGCTCGGGAGTTCCAGTGTGGCACAGGCCTCAGTGCGAGCTGTCCTTCCTGCGTGAAGCCACATACGTAGTTAGCGTGTGAGCTCTGTTAGCATGTGAGCTAGCATGTGCTGCCGGGGCCTCTGAGAGCACATGCAGTAACTGGTCCCCTTCCCTGCGTGACCCCTCCTCTGGCCTGGACCAGGCGCCGAGCTTTTGGTGCATCAACTATGGTGCCCCAGACCCTGAGATGCCTGCCTGCTTGCCCATCTCAGCCACAGCACTCATAAGATCACCATGGCAACACAGGTGAGCCCCGCCCCCACCCGGCCCTGTGCATAGAAGGCACCCTAGGTGCCCAGGTGTTGGAATTAGGTGGGACTACGGGGGCCTCTGGTTAAGCAGACAGTCAGAAGGGGAGGCTCTAAGGAAGAGATGCCATGATTTACCTGTGCAGTGGATAACAGGACTGTGTCCTCCAGCACAAACCACTGGACATTCTCAAGACAGGGAGGAGTACTGAATGAGCCCGGGTAGGTGTAGTAGTTGTTGAGGTTTTGAGGCAGCATGTCCCGAATGTCAAGGCCACTCAGAACTGTGCTTTGTCCTATCAGAGGGGGCAAAAGATAAAAAAGTGTTAGAGACTGCAGCTGCCCCCCAGGAAGCCAGCTCAGCTCACCTCCACATTCAAATCTCCTGACTTAAGTAGAAGAACATAGAATAACATGGTTAGTGGAGAATGTTTCCCCAGTTTTCTGTTTCCCGGAAGGGGTTAAGAGCAAAGACTTTGGGGAGGAACCTGCTCAGCCACCTCCTCCTGGCTGAGTGGCCCTGGCCAGGTGTGCAGGGCTCCCTCCTCATCCACAACAGGGAAGGGTCAGCAGGACTGAGGTGAGGAGGAAGGGGGACGGGTTCAGAAAGTGCCCACAGGTTTACAGGGCAGGACATGTGAGCGTAGTTGTCATTGTCGTCATCGTCATTGTGAGGCCAAGGGTACTCTTATGATAAAAGGAAGAAATCGATGGTGACTCCCAGAGGCTCCTGGGCAAGTGTCCTCGAAGTAACAAAATCTCTGGGTTTGGGTTCATTTTGAAGTGGACGAATAGAGATTAGAAAAGCAGAATCAGAGTCAGGCCGGGGTCTGGGGTCCGGGGTTTGGGCTCCAGGTTCAGGCCTCTCTGGTCCTGAGCTCCCCTTGCCACGCCCATTGGGAGCCACGCCCATTGGGAGCCACGCCCATTGGGTACCACGCCCATTGGGAGCCACGCCCATTGGGAGCCACGCCCATTGGGAGCCACACCTATGGGAGCCACTCCCATTGGGAGCCAGGCTGAGCCACAGGCTGGGGGTGGGAGAGGGGAGCAGCAGGTGTCTGAGGCCTCTGCAGCGCCCCCTACCCCACCGCCCTATCACTGCATCTACGAATTTCCTCCATTGTCCACGGCAGTCCAAGCCCAGCATGAGGCTAGCAAGGCAACATGGAACTGAGTTGAATTTTGCTTCACTTTCTCTGAGAACTTTTGCACATTTTAAGGGCAAAGAGGACACAGAGATAAACAGGCCTGTTTAACCAAAGCCGGGAAGTCTAGTAGTGCAGACCCCATGAGTAAGCAAGAGATCACTCTTCTGTTGTTATTGGAAAGAGTATTTAAGTGAGTCAAGAATTCCAGAGCCGCATGCAGCTGCTGTGGAATTATGGTGGTTCCTTAAAAAAGCAAAACACGGATTACTGTGTATCCGGCTACCCTACTTCTTGGGTATCCACGGGAAGAACTGGGGGCAGAGAGGTGGGAACAATGGCCTGGCCTTGGTTGGGACATGGGGAGTCACCAGAAGAGGACAATCAAGACAGTTCCCGGATCGGGGGCTTGGACAGTGGGACAGAGGACATTCTCTGCTGAGACGAGAAAGGCATTTAGAAGCAGGCCCGGAGGGGGATGGCAGTGCAGGGTCATGTGTTGGCTAGGCTGACTTTTAGGTCTGCATGGCAATATCCAATAAACTATCAGGTAAAGGAAGTGGAGTTCGGGAAGAGGCCGGGGCTGTGGGCAGTACTGAGCAGAAGCAGAAGTTACTGAATTGGAGGAGGCAATGGGTCAGGGTCAGTTAGTAGAAGTACATTATTGGAGGTCAGTGGACTTCAGGAAGCTTCTTCATTATCCTCCAGGCCAGTGGTTTCTCCTGCTGCCTCCAGTGTCAGTCATTAAATCGGCCAGAGGGTCGTGTGTCCCCCTTGCCTTGCCCGGCCCTCCTGATCCCAACACTGCGTGGGGGACCAGCTACAGGTGTGTGGAGTCCATGGCCTAGAGGGGGCGGTTCAGTCCATAGACTTGAATGAGGTCCCGAGGAAAGACGGGCTGGGCCCCCTCCAGCATCAGAGAGGGGACCAGAGAAAGAGCAGCGCTGGGGGTGGGGCGGGGCCACAAGGGGAGCCCTGTGCAATGGATCTGTGTGTCAAGGTCAGTTAAGAGAAGAGAAGGACACTGGCCAGGAGACCTGACTGCAAGGGGGACCTGCAAGGCTCTGCAGGGGGTGAGAACTCAGTAGGGGGGCCGGGGGAGGGTGGGTGAGAAAGAGAACAGCCTGCCAGACAGCTGTTCGAGGGGGGCTGAAAATGGTTCGGGAGCCAGTCCAGGGGCTGGCGGGGTCCAGATACTTCTGTTTGCCTGTGTTGTGAGGTGGGAGGTACTGGAGCTGAACTGCGTGCTGAGCAGAATGACCTGTTGAAGGGTAAGGAATCAGCGATGCAGGAGAGAAGGGACAGGGCCGGACAGCAGACCCTGAGTACGAGGGTCATGTTCACACGGAGGGTGTTGGGCCAGATCAGGGGCTTCTCCCACATCACAGACGTGGGGACCTGGAGTGGAGTGGGGCAGGGGGCAGGCAGGCTGAGAAGATTGTAGCATTTTATTCGTACTTTATTCCTTCCCATGGCTGAGTAATATTCCTCTGTGTGTGTGTGTTTCTGTGTGCACGTACGTGGCCCCATGTTGTCAATCATTCGTCAGTTGCTGATTTTCGGTTGTGTCTATCATTCAGTGACTGTTAATGGTGCTGCTACGAACATTTGTGTATGAGGATTGGATTGGCTTGAGTTCTCGATTTCACTTCCTAGGCATGGAATTGCTAGGTCATATAGTAGTTCTATTTAACTGTTTGAAGAAAAAATGTTTAGACTCCTTACAATGTGGTAGAAGGAATTGAAATAGATTTTTGGACGCATAGGCATGAATCCCTGATGTTTTTTCTCCCTGTCACTCCTGTGTCTCTAACTCCTCGGCCCAGACTCAGCTGTACCCACGGGGATGAATGCAGATAAATGAGAGCAAAGAGAGCATCCCGGGGAAAGTTAACTCGCCTAAGATTCTCTGTCGACAGTGTTCAGCTTGAGAAGACAAAGTTTGCTCAGCAAAGTGAAGTCCTCGCCCCAAATCGTCGGTATGAGCTCTGTTCTAACGTTTTATCTAAAAATCACCCGCAGACCTAGAATGAATTTGACAGTCAAAGTGCATTAATTAAGCGGAAAAGAGTTCTCAAAACAATGATTTCGCTGATGTGGTTTTTATGCGAACCTTCCAGGTTTTCCTTTAAAAAGGAGAACACAATGGGTGTGTGTTTGGCGCCCTCTACAGGAAACTATGCGGATGGACAGTACTGCAGAAGGAATTGGTAGGCAGAAGCCAGTATTCCCTTCAAGACCCATTGTAACTATGCTAATGAGCCATGTCGGATGAAGCGCTTTCTAACACTGAGCACTGAGTTTCCTGTCCCAGTCAACAGAGATGTTGAACCTGATGATGAACATTTGTGGAACCATGTTTGAGCTACAAACACAGGGGTTTTCTCAAGATCCCAGGGCTTGGTAAGGGTGTTTATAGGGCCTGCAAACGACTTTAAAATCCTTCAGTACAGTCTGTACCTGAGGCTTAGTTTCAATCTGCTTCTGAAAGGCAGCTGGCTCTGCTAAACTGAAAATGCAAGACTCCACAGGGAGTTAGAACCCACACTTGGAAGATGCCAAAAGCCCACTTTGGCTCTCTTTATGTGTAGTCCACAGCCCCGTAGTTTGTTAATTAGCATAATAGGTGTGAAAAGTAATCATTCGTCCATGAAACAATGGACAGGACAAGAACATTGTGTAGAATCTGGGTTCTAAACACTCCTGCCCACATATGAATCTAATGAGCCCACAGTATGTAATTTTAATTTTCTAGTAGCCACATTTTAAAAAGTAAAAGGAAGCAGCTGAAATTAATTGAATAATAAATTTTATTTAATTCAATATAGCTGAAATGTTAGCATTTCTATATGTGACTGACATTAGAACTATTTACGAGATATTTTACATCATTTTTCTTGTACCAAGTCTTGAAAATCCAGTTTTGCATATTACTAGCCATACCAGCACTGTGCAAGGATTTTGGGTGCATGTTAAATCTCTAATCTGTAAAACAACCCTGAGAAGTAGGGTTCTTTTGGACCCACAAACAGATCACAAACTGAAGCAAACTCCCAGGACATGGAAGTGCCAGTGGCATCCAGCTGTTGTGGGTAATGCAGCCACCCCGGGTCTCCTCCTCCAGGCAGGTGCCCATCCTCCAGCTGCTGAAGCAGGGGTGCAGAGGCCCAGCCTCCTTCTCTGTGTGGGGCCTGAGCTTCGCTGCAGGATGGGCCTCAGCTGTAGCCACGTGGGAGTGGCCTTCTCCCTGTGCCCTGCCCTGCCAACCTCACAGCCTTGGGTTATCTCTCCCCAGAGACTCCCCAGGCAGCCTCTCCTCTGTCTCAAGGGAACCCCATCTAAGACACCAGGACTCAGCTGAGCCTCCAGAGACCTTGCTCATGAACGGCTCTCTCCTCATGGGACAAGCCTCGAAATCTGCGACACTGGGGTCTCCCCGCCAGGTTAGGAAACAGGCAGAGAGGGCGTTTCTCTTGTGGAAATGGGCTACCAAAGTTGGGGTGGCCCCCGAGTTACTGGCCCTCGTGGTCTTTTTAAAAATATATATTTTATTGATTATGCCATTATAGTTGCTCTATTCCCCCCCTTCATTCCCCTCCACCCTGCACACCCCACCCCCAGCATTCCCCCCTTTCATTTATGACCACATGTCTCAAGTTTTTGAGATTCTATATTTCCCCTACTATTCTTGCCCTCCCCCCTATCTATTTTCTACCTACCATCTATGCTACTTATTTTCTGTGCCTTCTTCCCCCTTCTCCTTCTCCCACTCCCCTGTTGCTAACCCTCCATGAGATCTTCATTTCTATGGGTTCTGCTCCTGATCTAGCTGTCCTCTTAGTTTGCTTTTGTTTTAGGTGTGGTTCTTAATAACTGTGAGTTTGCTGTCCTTTCACTGTTCATCTTTTTTATCTTCTTTTTCTCAGATAAGTCCCTTTAACATTTCATATGATAAGGGCTTGGTGATGATGAATTCCTTGAACTTGATCTTATCTGAGAAGCACTTTATCTGCCCTTCCATTCTAAATGAAAGCTTTGCTGGGTAGAGCAGTCTTGGATGTAGGTCTTTGGATTTCATGACTTGGAATACCTCTTTCCAGCCCCTTCTTGCCTGTAAGGTCTCTTTTGAGAAATCCGCTGACAG